AAGGTCCCAACAAATGAAGACAAAACGCCGCAGGAAAACTAGAGCAGGTCGGCCTAGAGGGGCAGCTTCGACCCGAAACCGTTCCAAAGACCCTCTCATACTGATAGCCTCTTCCTAACATGTAAAGGATTGTCCATCATTTAAAAAATTAACAGTTTTCAAAATTATCTGGTATCTGTTTGGTTATCAAGGTAAAGAAATAAGTAGAAACTATATGAATTAAACTTGTATTCAAACTGGTTATCAAATTATCAATAATTAACAAAAGATCATGCCCATCAAGCTCTGGACTCTAGGGTTAGAATGTCCCCGCGCTCTGTCATTTGTCACACACTTGATCGGATCTAAATACCGCACAAAGATCCGCGATGTTGCCAGGTCCCTGACAGTACATCCCCCTCTTTTAATCAGTAATATAGTCTTGGAGATAGTAAGGTTTCTAACAACCCTTGAAGGTCTCTCTCCAACGCTAGAAGAGTTCTCACTATTATTAAGGTGGGGATTTACATCACTTTCACTATGCACTTCCTGATCATCACAACCATTACTTCTAGAATGCTGTGGGGCCTTATCATAATTTAAAGAAGGCTCATTATTGTGTACATACAGTTGAGACTGATATGAGGGCTCAGTTGGTTTAGACAGTGCTGGGGTAGCGGAGGGAAATTTATAATAATGGGCGGGTATAAGGTGCCATCTGTTTCGTCGGTAGAACTCAGATTGTGTTGCAATAATATATGGTCGAGGTTCTTTTAATATTTCTACGACTTTTCCGTAAGTCCGGATATCAATTACCCAAACACTGTCCCCCCACTTTAAAAAGGACAATTCTCTGACCTGGTGTCTTTTGCCAAACTGGTTAGCTGTTTTTTGTTTTGCCTTATTTTGTTTTTCAAATACAGACTTAGTACTTACGGGGTTGTTTAACTTACTAGGTAAAACGGGAAGAGTAGTTTTGATTTTACAGTTCATAAGAAGTTCTGCCGGACTAAAACCGCAGTCCAATGGAGTATATCTGTATGCTAGAAGAGCTAAATCATCATTTTTTGCTACTTTTACAGCGGCTTCTATACAACCATTAGATTGTGCAAAGTACGGCTAGTGATATGTTTAAAGTCGTAATCTTGTGCAAATTTTTTGAAAAGAGACTGAAATTGTGGCCCATTATCAGACGTTACCACATCTGGGATTCCATACCTTGCAAAGACTTCTTTCTGATATATAAATGTCTACTTGCCACTGCTTTGTTACGATATTATTTATATACAAGGATCCCAGGAACATGTTATCATCATTAAAGTTTAGAGAATTTATACGATCAAGTAATGAATCATCTCCCTGTGATCCTTCTACTTCTAAAGATCTGACCTGAGTTTTGCTTCTACATACTGATGCCCAGTGACCTCGCTTACTGCATTTGTTGCAACTAGACTTGTTTGCTGGACATTTGTCCCTTGGATGTAACTGGAGACCACAAAAGATGCAATTTTTCGTAGGATTTTTAGGATATTCTTGTTGGTTTCGAAATTTTGCACTATTACCTGAGGAGCTACTGACACTTGAAGATGTTGGATACTTTTGAATGGCACTATTTTCCAATTGTTGATGTAGCTGCATGCTTTGTGGTGCTTGAAGTTCCGCTTGTTTATCTGTCTGAATGCATTCCACTAAATTTAGATTAGGTTTTAACTGCAAATTATCACTAGTTCTTTTATCGATCATTCCGACCACAATTCTGTCACGAATCAAATCTTCCTTAAGTGTGCCATAATCACAGCTTTCTGCTAGTGTATCTAGGTTTGATATTTATTTATTTATTTATTTCACAACCCAAACAGGCTTTTAGCCTTATTACATGGATATTATTGCTAAAACTGTTACAATAATAAAACTATCTACTGATTCGCCCAGATGTTAAGTTCTTGAATTGAATTTAAAGCGTTCGAAAATTACATTTTTTCTAGGTATAAAATATTCGTCAAATTTTATTAATGTAGTATAAAGAGTCGCAGGAGTCTCGGTAAACTGTATAATTATATTTTTATGTATTTAGTGATATTGATCCCTAATTGATGTAGAGTAGTTAAGTTGTAGTCATTTTTTCAAAATAAATTATAAAGATCTCACATGCCGCAATACACATTACACATACATGTTGTGTGTGTTGCCGTCAAATAGTTATTTTCTAAAACATTTTTGTGGTTGATATCAATGCGGACTTTCAAATTTATTTTGAAGAAGTAATAATAATCATTTCATTTTAGTGTCGGGTAAAGCTTTCTGTTGGTTCAGGATAAAAAATAGTATGTAAACCACGACAGTAAAGTGATTTTCCAGGCCTTGCAATGTGTGCAAGCTCGACTTCGCCTTGCCTATCCATATCTTAACTCGGCCTGGAAAACAGTCGCTTTACTGCCTAGGTATACAATGTACTATTACTAATGAATGTGAACCTATGATTGTGGGAAGAGATGATTTCCAACATCCTTCAACAAGCCCTTAATACGATCAACAGATGGTGCGAGAGGGAGCAGATGTCTGTTAACCCCCGCAAAACTGTTATTGTCCCCTTCACCAAGAGAAGGAAGCTCGACAAGCTTCGACAACCCACCTTGGCTGGAGAAACCATTCCTTTTGCGGAGGAGGTGAAATATCTGGGAATCACCCTAGATAAAAAAACTCACCTGGAACCCCCAATTGGATAAAACCATTAACAAAGCCAGATTATCCCTCTGGACTCTCAGAAGGATATGCGGCAAAGCATGGGGGATCAGTCCTCAACTGATCTATTGGATCTACCAAACAGTGGTAAAACCCATGGTTACGTACGGCTCTGTCGTCTGGTGGGACAAGGGACTCCAACGGACGGCCAGAGCAAAGCTGGCTGGAATACAGCGGCTTGCGTGCCTCGCCATAACTGAAGCAATGTCAACTACACCTACAGGAGCCATGGAGATCATGCTGGACCTAACCCCTCTCCAAATTCTGCCAGAAAGGGGCCAGAATGGTCTCCTACAGGCTCCTGAAAGTGGGTAGTCAATATTACGAAGAACTGCGGTGGTACAAGACAGGGCTGATGAGTGAAATTATTAATCACCTCATCTTCGGCATGGTCTCGGACTAGCTAGTTCCCCGACAGCACATAGAAAAGCCATACAGCGTCCTCATTCCAGAACTGAAAAAGAAGTAGGAGCGGGAGTTTTCGGCCAGAGGCCTAGAGTTGACATATCAATAAACCTAGGCTCTCTGGCCACGATCTTCCAAGCAGAAATGATTGCTATAGAATTGGGATCGAGAGAGTTGATCAATTTTCTCCCCGCAAACAAGACTATAAAGATCTTTTCAGATAGCCAGGCAGCCCTTAAGGCCCTGAGCTCCAATCGAGTTGACTCAAAGCTGGTTTGGAACTGTATAAATACCCTAGAGTGTCTCGGTGCCCGGAACAAAGTTACTTTGATCTGGGTTCCGGGACACAGTAGTGTGGAGGGCAACGAAAAAGCCGACGCACTTGCTAAAAGAGGAACCGAATCTGTGTTCATAGGACCAGTACCATTCCTGGTCATTGCAAAAAGCACTGCCAAAGGAATTATCTCAAAATGGACGGAGGGTGTAACACTCACGAACTGGAGAGATACCCCAGGGCTAACCCATTCGAAGGCGTTTATAACCAACCCTTCCATGAACGCCTCTGCTCAGATCCGAGAATGGAGTAGGAGAGATCTACGCATTTTCACCGGACTGATGACAGGACACTGCCGTCTGGGCAACAGGACACTGCCGTCTGGGCAACCACATGAGAAGGATAGGTCTGCAACAAACATCGGACGAGGTCGAGGACGAGTCTGCAGAGCACATTTTATGTACCTGCTCCGCTCTGGAAAGAATCAGGTTCCAGATCTTCGGGTTTACCTGACTGGAGCCTACCGACTTTAAAGATGTCTCACCCAATTCAACCATGACCTTTATCAAAAGGTGTGGCTTGTACGGTGAACTATAAGTTAGTCATGATTCACAATAGACCCATCTGGGTCACAGTGGAAGGCGATGAGATCATCCCACTCATTTTCAACCTAACCTAACCTATGATTGTGGAACCGTTAATATTGTTAAATAAATATATAAAACTCTAAGTTGTTGTAGTAATTCATACAATTCTGTATTTTTATTTTTGAATTGTTTGTATTTAACATGAATCCTAGAATTTTGACAGCAGATTCAGCTAATTTAAAAACGTCAAATAAGACCTGAAAATTGGAACAAAAATATTATAAACTACTAAAATAATTGACGCATTACGAAAAGAAAACAGATTATTTAAAAATATTTGGCACCATTGTAACAATGTGTAGTTATTCTATAGAGTGAATTTAGGCGGGAAATTTCATCAAAAGTTGTTTTTCAATCCCAATGTTCTTCTAAATGTCTTATTCAGCGGATAAGTCAACGTTTTCTTGTTAAAATAAACACCATTAATAATTGTTTCGACTTAAATAAAATTGAAAATTCCGATGCGTTGTTATAGTCCATTACCCATAGACTGTGTTGTTTTTTTTTTGTTATTTTAGGCTCTTTCCCTTTTTAATAACTAATTTTCTTGCAGTTATATTACTATTACCCATAAAATATAGATTAGTTTAGTTTTTAGTCATTTCCATCTTATTGAACTTAATAAATGTGGTACATTTTATAAGGCAACAACCACAATATGTCATGAAATAACAATAGTTTTTCTACGATATAAAGAAATTTTTGAATTATCCTCGTATGAACGACAAAATTTAATTTAAAGTAAAATATGATTTTAGTAATAATTAGTAGTTGATAAAAACCAATAAAGAAATCATTAGTCAACAGAATGCAACAAATTGTCGGGAAAAACCAAAACATTCTTAAATTCTACTAAATTTATAAATGGAAATAAATAGTAAAGGGTCAGGCACCAGTTAACCTTATAGATATTTATTTGTCTTGTAATTTGTAAACGAGTTTGTTGTAATTATTCAATGATTATTATATGGTTCACTTCTTTTGAGTTTCGCTTTACTTATAATTGGAATTGTGACGACATTTTATCTCATAGAAACAAAACAAATTAGCATAATATTTATAAATCAGTAGTTAACGTTAATACACATCACTGAGTGGATCATTGCTGCTAAATATTTATATTAGGTAAAATATAAATAATACAAAACTAAGATGTATAGCCACAACCAGTGCCATTTTTTGTTAGTATTTAGTGTACTTTTTGTGACATTTACAAAATCGGTGATTAGTCAATCAAGTTATTCTGATGAAGAGGTTTCAAGTAAGTACAAAATATGTCTACGTCATTATGGGACATGAGACACTGAGAGAAACATTTGTTTAATATTTAGAAAGTTTGTTAATATTTTTAACATAAGTTTGGATAGGGCCGAATTTATTATAGCCATTTCATAAGTTAAAAGCTCATTAGTTGAAAATAAACACTTATATATTAATATTAAAAATGTTAAAAAGAAAAATTAATTTGTTAATATCAAACAAATACCTTTGTTAATAGTATATTACGTAACAAGAGTTGTAAATATCTCATTACGCACGAAATGAAAAAGTTAACGAGTGCGTAATGGGCTTACAACTCGTGTAACGTACTATACTTTTTCTACGCCCACTTAAAACATTCTCCGAAAAGGATTTAACGTTATGCTTGTGTCGCCAATCCACAAATTTTCGATAGGTAATTGACAATATAAACGAAATGACGTTTATTTTCATAGCATACTAAGAAAACGCGACTTAGTTTTTTAAAATTGGATAATGTGTTGCCGACATTTAGGGGCATCACTTTTTTAATCCAAAATGTATCTTGCTAATGCTAAAAGTTTTAGTATCTTTATATTGACTAAATTTATGTAAATAAACCAAATAAAGTCTTACGTAGATAAAAATTTGATTGTAATTTGATTAAACTAAGAAATTTAAGTTTTCTTATCAAAACGCACGTGTATGTTATGGGATCTCATTACGTACATGTTATTGTTAAATGTCGTTTACAAGAAATGTTGACAGTGCGATAACAAATGTATATTTTATATACCTACTGGGTGTTACCTAACTACGGTACGAAACTTCAGTGGTTGATTCTTTGGGTTGTTTTGTGAAAAAAAGTTCCTATGAAAATATGTCTGGAGTTGCTTTGTTTCTCAGATACAGGGCGTTAAAGTTAAAAAAATGGGTAATTTATAAATATAAAAAATATCCTTAAACCAATTTCGTTGACTTTTGGTAAAGTTATTTGAAGTAATAAGGCGATTATTTAGGCCTAACTAGATTAAAATTGTTGGGTCCAGTGGCGTCTCAGTATGAAGCACAGCTAATATTATTGAGAAAAAAGTATGCTACTCATTTTTTGTAGTTTTTGTTTTTTTTATATATTAAGTAACTAAAAATACAACTTTTTGGTCTTTTGTATTGTTTTCATATCTAGCTTCGTTTAAAAAAAAAAAAAAAATAGAATCTACTGTATTGCATATCATGAACTAGGCAGTCCTGGATTTGTCAATAGGCCATATAGGCCGCGGCCTAGGGGCGGCAGCATCCTAGGGGCGGCAGCATCCTAGGGGCGGCAGATTTCAGAGGACGCTTACTTGATTTCAGAGAATAAAAGTCAAACAAGTTCACTGGTTTTCTCATTGTTTTTTTATACTAATACGTAAAATTCCTATAGAAACTCATTCCTATCGAAAATTATCAATCCTAGGCACCTAATGTTATTGTACCTATTTTATCTATATTACGACGATTTGGTTCAAGAATGTGTACATTTTCACAGGCACATTTCCTCTAATAAAACTACAGAGTGTGCAGTGAAGCCTGGATCAAACTCACTACTGTCTCTCAACGTTTTTAAGGAATCAATCTCTGTCTAATGTTTACCCTAACTTGGATATAGCTCTCTGCATCGCACTTTCCACTCCGCCTACAAATTGTTCTAGGAAAAGAAGTTTTTCCTGTTTAAAACGCCTGAAAAATTATCAGAGGTCTTCATTGTATCAAGAAAAAATGAATTCTTTAGCTCTTCTTTACAAAGAAGCACAGATAATAAACACCGTATACTGTGATGATATTATAGATGATTTTTTAAAAAGTCTCGTAAAAAATTATAATTCTTGTTTCTTTTTTACGCTCTTTCTTAATGACTAATTCATTCGTTTATTTGATTTTAGTATTTTCCTTACTACAAATGGAAAATTATTATTTTAGAAAGGTACATGGGGCGGTGAAAATAAAGTGGCCTACACTCATAAAAAATATAAATCCGGCACTGGAACTAGGGATGCGCACGATGTATCGATGTTTAAAAAAACATCGATTTTTTGGTTTTGATTTTCGATGCTAACATCGATGTTTTTTATCCGATGTTATTAGTTAACATCGATGTTTTTTATCAGTTGTTATTAGTTAACATCGATGTTAGTATTTAACATCGATGATTTATTTTTCAATGTTTGTTAAGTTTTAAGTTTTAATTGATGGTCTTGAAGACCTTTTTTTGCTTTTGAACGATGTTTTCTAAAAATCGATGTTATCTTTCAGATTTTTTTACAGTATCGATAGTCTGTATTCGATGTATCATTTGATGTCAACATCGACGTTTTAAAAAATTTGGGCTTCCCTATCATGAATATGGAAAAAAATATTTTTTATATTAAAACATCATCTCGCCAATTTATCTTAAACTTGGTACTTACTTTTTACTCGTTTTATTTCGAGTTAGTAATTAGATTTGACTTCATTTCAGGGGCGTCTTGGAAGGCAACTAAGTTAAAATCCATAACACCACTGGTTTTAATAGGTAAATTATTTTTTTTTTTCAGATTTAGGAAGTTCTAGTACCTACTTACCTGCTTTGGAGATCTGTTCACAATGATAGTATTATCATATCACTATTATTTAGAGTTGTCAATTATCAGTGATTCCATCATGAATAACTTTACTCATTTTGAGATGACTGGCATGCACTTTATTTATGAATTAGCAAAGAGAAATGCGAAAGAAGAACGGATAATTTACCAGGACAGATATCCTCACAAAGTTATTACATGTGCTAAAACATTTAGAACACAACATGCAAGATTAAGTGAAACTGGGAGTTTTAATAAAAATACAGGTGGTGAAAGACCAATAACTGTAACAACGCCTGAAATAGAAGAAGCTATACTTCATGCGATAGAAGAAGATCCCTCAAGTAGTACCAGGAAGATTGCACTGCATCCAGAAGTCAGTCCAAGAACCCCGTTTGGAAAGTTCTAAAAATAATTTCCTGTACCCATATTACATACAGCTGGTTCAAGCTCTTCGGCCTTGGAATTTTCAGGTGGTTGATTCGTTACGTTGAACGTCTGATGACTACCTAATTGGGCCATTTTTTGCTAGCAAGATTAACAGGTGAATCCTACACGAACTTTTGACAAGGGAATTTATCTGTTTTGTTAGGAGATGTACATTTAAATGCCAACATGTGGTTTATGCACGACGGTGGTCTAGCTCGTCAGCATCTCGGCATCACCTACCCTAATCACTGGATTGAATGTGCAGGACCTCAAAATTGGCTAACTCCTAGTCCTGATGATATGAATTTTCTAGATTTTTATTTATGGGGTCATCTGAAGGCTCTTTTTTATAAACCTCATATCTGTACTAAATGTGAATAACTTGAGAAATCGGATAATTGATAATTGCAATGCCATAAGGAATTTTTGAACGTGTCAGACAATCAATGACATGCTCATTTACTTTGAGGTCAAAATTATTTATTTTATATTTTTGATTTTTCTTTTATGTTGTCTATGGAAAGTTTTTAGAATAAGTTAAAGTGATTTTTATTTTGTTTTCTCGGAAACGAAGCTAGATATGAAGAAAACACAAGGGATCAAAAAAGTTGCAGTGACGTACTTTTTGTTTTTATTAATATTAGCTGTGGTGTCCACTGAGACGCTACTGGAGCCAATAATTTCAATCTGGTTATGCCTCTTATTACTTAAAATAACTGTACCAAATTTAAATCAAATCGGTTTGAGGATATTTATGATATTTATAAAATACCCATTTTCTTTAACTTTACTTTAACTTAATTCGGGTTAATTTATAATACAATCTATAACTGAGCCACAAATGGAATGCTCCGCCAATTTTACCCAACCCTGTATAATTGTTTAATACATAAATATATTTTAATCTTCTTCAGTGTTTTCAGAATTTATTTAGTTATTCGTTATATATTCTTCACATCCTGATTTTCTTGAATTTGTAGAATATTTTAATGCAACTGTCCTTAATTGTATTTTTTTAGATTTAAGCCCCACTAATCAAACCAAAACAAATCAGAATATACCTACTCTGCCTTTAATTAATTATGGAAAGAAAAGTTATTATATAGGAACAGTTTTTAAGGTAAGTTGCTTAAAAAACACAAAAAAATATAAAATATATAAAATATATAAAATATATAAAATATATAAAATATATAAAATATATAAAATATATAAAATATATAAAATATATAAAATATATAAAATATATAAAATATATAAAATATATAAAATATATAAAATATATAAAATATATAAAATATATAAAATATATAAAATATATAAAATATATAAAATATATAAAATATATAAAATATATAAAATATATAAAATATATAAAATATATAAAATATATAAAATATATAAAATATATAAAATATATAAAATATATAAAATATATAAAATATATAAAATATATAAAATATATAAAATATATAAAATATATAAAATATATAAAATATATAAAATATATAAAATATATAAAATATATAAAATATATAAAATATATAAAATATATAAAATATATAAAATATATAAAATATATAAAATATATAAAATATATAAAATATATAAAATAAATATATAAAATATATAAAATATATAAAATATATAAAATATATAAAATATATAAAATATATAAAATATATAAAATATATAAAATATATAAAATATATAAAATATATAAAATATATAAAATATATAAAATATATAAAATATATAAAATATATAAAATATATAAAATATATAAAATATATAAAATATATAAAATATATAAAATATATAAAATATATAAAATATATAAAATATATAAAATATATAAAATATATAAAATATATAAAATATATAAAATATATAAAATATATAAAATATATAAAATATATAAAATATATAAAATATATAAAATATATAAAATATATAAAATATATAAAATATATAAAATATATAAAAGAGATATGGCGGATCGAAAATTTTATTTATTTTTATTATTATTTTAGGGAAACTTTTTCCAATCTGAACAGTTCTGCAGATATCACGGAATGAATTTAGTCAGCATCATGTCTAAAGAAGAAAATGATTTTCTGCGACAGAAAATTAACGAACAAGGTATATATTAACATTTTTATTACTAACTTTTATGACTAAAAAAAATAGTTGAATTTTATAAAATTTTATAAAATGTCTATGAATTTTAATGAAATTAGATGTTAAGGGCTATTGTATTTTCAATATTCAATTTATTATAAACATTGATGATTTGGATGTTAGAAATTAGTTACATGAGATATAAATTTGGCGATTTTAGAAAAAAATTACGTGCGAGTTTTATATTTACGTTAAGTCTATAAAATAGTAGATTAAAACGTTTATAATTTAGAAAAAAAACAGTAATTATATGAAGCGCTCGGGGAGACAAGGTACATAAGCCACATTAGGCTTTTATTGAGAAAACTTAATTTTAAACTTTTGGTTAAATCCTGAACGAACAATTTTATGTGATATGTATGGAAGACTAGTTTATTTATCAGCTTCTTACAAAAAATTGTTAATTTGTTTTTAAAAACTGATATATTCTTGAAAATAGAAAAAATGTGGCTTGTGACCTTTATGCGTTTAAAAAGGTATTACATCTTTTTGAAATAAAAAAAAACCAACAAATAACAAGTGAATAAGATATATTAAAAATAAAAGGAACAAAAACTTGGATTCTGATTTATAAAAATATACCTCGACTTCTAAAACTCTTCGTCAAAGTCTATATTAGGTTTACTATCAACACATTCCACGTCATTTTCTTCTGTACCTGTATCCTCAGTAGCGACTAGAAGCTGTTTTAAAAATATTTAGGTAGAAGTTTTGGTTAACAGGAGTATATTGCATGAGCTTCTTCAAGTCTTCCACTTTCTTATTGTTTAGCTGTACAGGTTTATCATATAATTTTTTCAAGTTTTCTAAAATTCCGTTGGACTTTTGGCAAAGCCTATTACAACGTTTTCCAATATATCCCTGTTTAAAATTTCCATTCAATTCATGTTTGAGATAACTATCTCACAGATTACATTTTATTGAATTTGAAATTATAGATAAAAACATTAGGGAGCAGATTAGTCAAATTATTCATAAAAAATTTATTAGACAACGGAAAAAATTAAAATCACTTACTTGTAAAAAATCCATAATACCTAAACAAAAATCAGAACAGAACACAAATAAAATATCTGATCATACATTTTTTAAAAGATTTGTTAACTTAACTACCACAAATTTCTCTGAACCAGAACCATCTCTAATAGAAAAAGGGTTTAAACACAACATCGCACCTAAGATAAATACTTCGAACTTATAAATTTTAGGAATAGAAACAGAAATCGCTTTATAAGATTCATACAATACTTTGTCTCATAAATATCATACTGCGAACACAATTAAAACACAATTTTTACATAATAACAATTCAAATCAAGATAGTAAGTTAATTAAAACTATAAAGGATAAAGCAAAACAGGATGATATCATTTTCACTCGTGCTGATAAGGGAAATATCAAAAAGAACTAAAACGTAATATTCAGGATTCAACAGCAATTTTTGATTCTAGAGAAAAATTTAAACTAATACAAATGAACCACCACAACTTTATTCTTTAATTAAATTACACAAAGAAAACCATCATATTAGACCAGTTGTGTCATTTGTCACGGCAAACTGCAAATTCCATTCAAAGTACAATATAAAAAAATCTTATGAATTAACAGAAAAATTAAAAATCATTAAATTACCTAGTAACACAAAATTAGTATCATTCGATGTAACAAACTTATTTCCTAGTATACCTCCTAAAGAAACAGTTAAGCTGGTAGAAAACTTTTTTTTTTTGTAATGGCATGGCATCAGAAGGTAGAAAACTTATTAGATCATAATCAAGTCAATATTATAATCAAACAAGAAATCCTAAATTTGTTAAACATTTGCCTAAAACAAAATTATTTTCAATTTCAAAATAACATCTACTCAGCAAATGAAGGTCTTATTACAGGGTACCCATTAAGCCCGTTGCTTGCAGAAATATTTATGGATAATATAGAACATAAAATTCATAGCAATAATTTAAGTAAACATTGTCTTTATTGGCACAGATATGTTGACTGCTTTTACTGGTACTAGTAGACAGTTAAATTCTTTATTAGTTTTTATCAATACTATACACCCTAATATTAAATTTACAATGGAAACAGAGAAGTATAATTCAATTAATTTTTTAGACTTAAATATTATTAAAATTAATGAAGGCCATAGTTTTGGGATATTTCATAAGCCATCACATACTGATATTACAATAAATAATAGTTCATCTCATCCCTTAGATAATATAATAGCAGATAGGCCACCACTGCATAAAGTTATACAATATTAATCTCGCTATCATATAATCAGTATCTCTCTTTCTAATGAAGGCTTTCTCACTCGTTTTAGAATTCTCAGCAGTAGCGTACCGTAAAACAATTTCGCTGGGTTAATGTTCTAAAAGGTAGGTAGGTGCATTTTTAATAAAGTGAAAACAAAGTATGACTTTTTTGTTATGAATATAATATTAATAACAATTACTTTTAACACCACAACACGAACAAATTTAAATTAAACACTGGAATAATTGTCTGAGAATTGCTTTGTAAAACTGACAAATACAAACAAAGAGATAGAGATATTAATCTATTTCTCTCTAATTAGAATTCTCGACCATATTATCATGGCGACACAAACATTGTTTACTGTCCTCTCTTTACTACTTACTTACTCTGAGTCTCATCCATACAAACAAAAGCTAGCAGCATACAACAGTATGATCTATAAAATTAAATATCATTTAACAAATCGCAGTAAACAATAATTTTAATTCGAAGTTTTAGGGGAAAAACTTTTTAAACATGCTATTCATCAAGTTTATTCCATAATGAAAGATCAAAATTGCAGATATAAGACTCTTACATGTATTGGAGCTCCTAGTGAAAAGGTATCATTATATTTAAAAAACCAAAATATTAACTTAGCTTTCAAAACCAATAATACGATGGGGAAGTATATTAAAAACAAGGGTAAAATTAATCCTAATAATAAATCGGGGGTACATAAATTAAATTGTGGTAGTTGTCCAAAATTGTATATTGGTCAAACAGCCGTACTTTTAAAAAGCGCTATTCCGAACATTATAATAGCTATAAAGAAAAACAAAAATAATTCTACTTACTCAAATCATATTTTGGCTGAAAATCATTCTTTTACAAACAACTCTGAAATTTTACATATAAAAAATAAGGGCATTAAACTATACCATTTAGAAAGACTTGAAATAAATAGATTTAAAAATTCAGATGACCTACTAAATTAGATATTAATAACTCACCTTTATTAAATCTCTTTCCTTGTTTTCTGTGAGATAATCCCGGTAATGATACTATCTTATTGTTATCTGATTGATATCATAATTACTTAAGTACTCGTATTTACTTTAAATAATCAGTTTATTTTGTTATGTTATTGAAGTATTTTCTTAATTACTTTGATTGGTTAAATAACTTCGCATATATATATATATTGGACACCGAATTGTAAATTAGTCACATTTGAAAAATAAGTTGTACTTCGAAATATGTCATATGTAGTGTTTTTAATTTATATTTTTTTTAAATGAACACATCAAATGGATTTGCCCGTTTGCTCTTTTGCACAGCTTTGAACCAGTCTTCGGGAGAATAAATCTGGCCCAAGTATCTTTTATGCTTCTCTATGAGCGTAAAGTCACGATCACATGGTAGATAAGTGTGGACGGAATAGTTCTAAATTAATTTTCTCTCACGAGCTGCGACCAGAGAGACATGATTTGCAAATTTTCACTCTGGCCGCCGCAATTTTCTGTAAAAATCACAAGATCTTTTTGGCCAGTTGTGTGTTTGGAAGAAAGATACTTTAGCAAGATACTAACGATTTCTTCACTACCTTGCTTCGCTGTTGTTTCCAGCCACATGAACATGGTTACTTTTCCACTTACGCAATCACGGACACCTAGATTATAGGTCCAAGCCTTTCGCAAATAAAATGTAGAACCAACAATTAAACTTGGTGTAGGAAGTGTTTGTTGTAAGTCAAAAGTAAGCTTAATTTTATCTCCATTTGTTTTGGCTGATTCCACTTCCTCTCTCTGTTCTGCATGGCAGCTGCTATGATGAAGGTCTCGTTAAGTTTTTAATCTTTTTACTTCTTAATAATTTTTATTACTTTTTTCTGCCTGGATCAAAATATTTAGGAAGTCACATGTATGGCAAGTATTGCTTTTTGGAAGTTTAAAGCCGATATTGTATTCATTACAGAATATCCTTCTTTTACTGGTGTAATGTTTACACCAGTCAAGGTAAAAATCTTTGTACAGAGAAGAGATGAAAACGTCGTGATGTAAGTATACTCTGTTGGGATTCTTCTTTCTACTGTAATGGCTAACATATTTTGGAAAAGCCTTGATGTGATCACGAGCAGATTGTACTTGCTTATATGGAATCCTATTGGGTCTAGTGTGATGCTTCCCTCATGTGTCATTTTTTAGAACACTTTTTTCTTCTGCAATCTGTTTGCAAAGAAGTCGTACTCTTTTAGAAGAGTTTTGTAATTCATGCACGGATAAAAACTCTTGTTTACAGATATGTATGTCTAAGCCATTAAACTTTACTAAATATTGATAATTTACTTTCCTGGAGGATTCTTGCCTTTTTGTTTTTTCCGTATGAGCGTTTTTTTGGTACAGCTTTAATAGATCCAAATAAGTAAGTGTTTTGTTCTTTATAAGATCCCAAATTCCAAACATCGTTAAAAATGTCCTTTTCCTTTCCAACCATCTTCCCTCTGTACTTCTTTGCAGGGAGGACCAATCTTTCTATCTTCAACTTTCTTTCCTCTACTACTATCATAAGAGTGTCCCAGGTTTCGCTTGATTTTGGCTTTTTCTGTTTTCTTCTTTGAATATTTTGTTTTCGCCATCGTGACGGAGAGCTTTATAGGTTGTTTTTAAGACGCCTCTTGATACATCAGCTTCATTATCTTGGGAAAAAAATAACCAAATACTGAATGATTTTTTTCGACTCAAAAAGGACACAAGCTGCATTAAACGGGTAATACATTTTTAAAAAAAAAGGCCTGGCTAAATTGGTTTAACGTGTAATAGAAATTTATTTTATAATTACTTTAATATTTTCTTATACAAATAATTATTAACAATGGTTAAATCCGGAAAAAAATATTTTAATATATTCTGGAAGTAAAAGGACACATGCCACAAAAAAAGGGCAAGACGGTCATAAGCCACAATATTATTTACTTACCGGTAAATCGTCGTCTGTCAAATAATTGGAGCTGCCAATATCAGGATAATAATTTCGGTCATTCACACATTATCTAAATCGAAATCACTTCCCGAAATGGCACTAAAAACTTCGTTTTCAAACACTTTTTGTATTATAGTCAGCTGATTCTGTTTCGCCATGTTGTTTTTTAGGTGGCATATGACCTTCTAGGCTAGAAAAATGCCTGGTATTTAATTTAGGCAACAAGAATCTACAGGATTGGTGGCGCCATCTCTTCGAGCACGCTAGAAATATTTTCACGGTGGCTTCTGACCTTCTTGAGAAAGTATTCTATAAACAAATCTAATTTTTTTTTAAAAATGTGGCTTGTGTACCTTGTTCCTCCAAGCGCTTCATATGTCTTTTGTCAAACAGTAGATATTATCAAGGGTAATACTACAAGAAATGCGAACTTTTTGAGAACATTTTGTTGTTTCTTTGAAAATTTGCATAATTTGTACATTAATCAAACTTAAAATTATTATGAGTAATCGTTATTTTAAAAAATGACCAATTACACATAACAATAGTTAAAAACGTATTCTGTATTATGTCGTAGAAAAAGTCTTCTCTGCTTTTAGAAGAGTCCTCGCAACGATTCTGGACATCCGGTACCAGAATACCAGATAACGTTAAATGGATCTGGTTTACCACCGGAAAATCTCTAACCTATTTATCGTGGGACGAAGGTCAACCCAATAACGCAGCCAAAGATGACGAATGCGTAATGATGCAGATCAAGAACAAACAACTAAAATGGTACAACAGAGGTTGCTGGGAGGACTACAACTTCATGTGCGAAGTCACTTGGAAAGATTGTAGAACAACAAGTACTAGCGATAATCGTAAGAATATCAGGAGCCAAATTGATGTTAGGTAATTACAAATCCTACTTCCAAGTTGATAACACCAGTTAAAAGTAACAATGTTAACTTAATCAGTAACTTTCAAAACAAGTAGAGTAAATTTAAATATTGATAACTTCTTAAATGATCTTCATCTCCTGCCTTGGGTTAATATTACAGTAGGAGAAAATATTGATGAAAAAATACAAATTTTGAATAAGTTTATATTATTATTTTTTAATAAACATGACCCCTATTAGCAAGTGCGAGTGACTAAACCTCCTGCACCTTGGCTACTTAAACTTATTATGATAGAGAAATTTAAAAAATCAAGTTCTGATAATGACTGGACGCAATATAAAAATCTACGAAATTTTACGGTTTCTGCTGTAAGGCAAGAAAAAAAAATAATATTTAAATTATATCAGCAATCTAGGTAATGTAAAGCATACTTGGTCAGCTCTTAGAAAGTTAAATGTTCACGGTGAAAAATCACGTAACATACCTTTTAACTCATCAAATCTGAAAGATATAAATCTTTATTTGGCGAGATATGTTTTTCGTGGAATTTGTACCAAAAATTATATTTTTTATTATAACAGACGTTTTATTAAATTACATGTCATTAACTGACTTAATACATTAACTACTAATGAAATATTATAAAACAGGGTGATACACACTATCCCCCTCCTTAAAAAAAATTAAAATATTTAAAATGTACACTTTTGGTATTTCTGACTACCGTTGAACATTTTGTATATGCACTATCTTCTATCACCAATTCATTAGTCATGAAAGCGGGTTTTAGTCTATCTCTTGATACTGTCTCTCGTTTATTTTTAATTAATATGTCAAAAGTTTTGTTTGTTCGTTTTAAAACTAAATAAGGTCCGGTATAAGGTCTTTGTAACGATAATCTAATTTTGTCACATCTTAGATACACGTGGGAGCATTTATCTAGTTCAGAATGTCTAAAAATATTTTTTGTGCTATGCCAGTGTGTCTTTGTTGGTCGTATGTTATCGAAAAATGTATTTAGTTTCCTAAGATAGTCGTTTTGATTTGTAATAGGTTTAGGTTTTTCAAAAATTTCACCAGGTATCCTGAGCGATGTTCCAAAAGTTAATTCGGCTGGTGTTGCACCAATGTCCTCTCTGAAAGCATTGCGTAATCCAAGAAGAACAACATTTAATTCGTGGATCCAGAGTTCCCTAGAATCTTTTAAACGACACATTAAAGCTGCTTTTATACAACGATGACTTCTCTCTATAATGCCATTGGCCTGAGGATGATAAGATGTAGTATGACGAAGTTCGATGCCAAGTAAATTTGACATGTCTTTAAATAAAGTAGACCTGAAATTTTTACCTATATCTGTTACTATGATGACAGGTGTACCAAAACGTGAAATCCATCCATCAAAAATTGTTTGTGCTACAGTGTCAGCCTTTTGGTTTGGCATTGAATGCTTCACACCAACGTGTGAATCGATCGATACACGTTAAAAGATAAATATTATTGTTCGATGGAGGTAGAGGACCAACTATGTCTATATGGACGTGCGCAAAACGTTCATCTGGTTGCGAAAAGTTTTGTAATGGAGTTTTCTCGTGACGGTTGATTTTTGATAGTTGACAATCGTTGCATTCTCGAACCCATAATTTAATATCTTTTCTCATTGATGGCCAAACAAAACAAATCAATAGAAAACTTTTGTAACTTTAAACTTGATTTTGAAGAATTTAAAATATCTATGAGTTCACGGTCATCTTGCTGAGCTTTAGCTAAGTTAGATGAAGTGAGATCACGCTTTATTATAGTTGCTATACGAGAAAGGGTATCGGCAGGAATATTTGAACCCCCCTGTACATAATGTATGTCAGTGGAAAATTGACTAATGTAAGATAACTGACGTATATGTCTAGGAGAGAGGTTAGATTCTTTTTTCTTGAAGGCATATGTGATTGGTTTATGATCTGTGAAAATTTTGATTAATTGTCCTTCTAGCATAAATGAAAAATGTTTAATTGTGGCCAATATTGCTAAAAGTTCACGGTCATAGGTTGAGTACTTTTGTTCTGTTGACGATAGTTTTCTTGAGAAAAATGCTAGAGGCCTAGGTGAACCATCAAAAATTTGATGAATTGCTCCACCTATGGATGAACTGGAAGAGTCTGCCATAACAATGATCTCTTTATTGGGGATAGGAAAAAACAAACTAGTGGAATCAGAAATGACTTGTTTACAATTTTCGAAAGCAGTCTCCATTTCAGATGTCCACGAAATCGGAGTGTTATCATTCTTTTTAGAAGAGTGTATATGAAGGGGTGTTTGAATTTTGGCTGCATGTGGAATAAATCTATGATAAAAATTTAACATTCCTAAAAATCTTTTCAGTTCGCTAATAGTTTTGGGTTTAGGAAAAGTTTTTATGATTTGAATTTTTTGATCGGTAGGGAATAAACCTTGTTCGGAAATTTTATGTCCCAAAAAAAACTACGTTTTTTTGTGCGAACACACTTTTACTAATGTTTATAGATAAACCTATTGCTATGTTACTAAGAACTTCTTCGATATGTTTTAGATGAGATTTATAGGAGTCAGAAAAAATTAAAATATCATCGATATACACAAAGACAAATGGAAAACTTCTAAATAGATTGTCCATGAACCGTTGAAACGTCTGTGCAGCATTTTGCAAGCCAAAGGGCATTTTAAGAAATTCGAATAAACCGAATGGTGTCGTAACGGCTGTCTTAGGAACTGAGTCGGGGTGTACCGGTATTTGTAAGTAAGCTTTTGTCAAATCAATGGTAGAAAAATATTTTTTACCATGAAGATATGATGAAATGTCTTGTATGTTGGGTAAGGGGTATCTGTCGGGAATTGTTTGAGAGTTCAACATTCGATAGTCACCGCATGGTCTCCAGGAGTGGCACTCCGTATCAAATTGCAATGAAGAGAACGAAAGAGATATAATTAATATGATGACCATGTCCGACACTCAAGCCTTTTGTTATATAGTCTTAGAATCACTTTTTCTAAGCATATGTCAAACGGCTAGTGTGGGAAAATGGTGGCATTTTCCATACAATTTTTCTGCAACTTTCCGACTCAAGCCTTCGTTCCGTCCACATCCGATACTCATGCCAATTTTATTATTACGTCTAACACATTAATAACATTCTGTGGTTAAAAAGGCTTGCATGAAAAAATAACTCAAAAATCAGAACAAATTTGCGGTAATTTTTCCGACTCCAAAATGCACTTATCCATTCGCGCCATTCAAGCCAATATGTTTTTCGGGCTAGTGACGATGTATGTATTCATACTTTCGACGGGCTTGTGTGGAAAAATCAGTTAAAATATCGATTTTTCTTTACAAGATTACGCCCTCATTTCAACCCTTTAACCACTTGCAACATTAAAGCCTTTGGTTTTCCGAAGCCTAGTTCTATTAATTAATCATATAGTGAAAACGGCTTGCGTGGAAAAATAAGCAAAAAACACCTTTTATTTCTGTTAAGGAAAATCGAATTTTCCATATGTTATCCCCAGGGGCCATTCGTAAATTTCCTTTCATTCTACTCAAAATCGATGTACTTTTCAACCCTCTTCGAGGCTTGCATGCGAAAATGGGGCACCTAAATCAGTCAGTATCTGACGGTCTATTAATACGATTAACCATGAGCTAATCTGTGCCAAATTGAGATATTTAGGTATTGATAATAATTATTTATTCCTTATTTGGTCTTGTCTACTTAGAAGATCACACAAGATGTGTGTTCATAAAAAATTCTCATCGAACATTGATATTTTATCAGGAATTTCACAAGGCTCGATCCCTGGTCTTCTAGTATTCATTATTTATACAGCTGATATTATTAATTCTATTAAAAAAATGTTCTATACAGGCATATGCTGATGATACACAACTATTTAAATACTTTGACATTTAAAATTTAGTTCAGACTGCTGTAATCTTTAAAGCAACATGACTCGAGCAAATTTAAATTCTTATTTTTTGGTAGAAATCGGATGTTTCTTAATAATAATCTTCATTTAAATATTGCAGGTGAGCCATTAGAAGTAGTTGGGTATCATTTTAGATGGTCAACTGACATTTTGTGAACATATAAAAAGTCTAATGAAAAAATCCTATACGTCTTTAAAAATTATTGTATTCTAATCGGCATTTTCTTAGTATTAAATTGAAAATTTTACTGTGTGAATCCCTAATACTTAGTAATTTCACTTATTGCGATTTTTGTTATTGGCCTTGTTTGCTGAACCGAGAAAAACATAGGATTCAGGTTCTACAAAATAGCGCCAGCCCTGACACTGGCTTCAACTATAAACTGTTAATTATGTATATTTTATTTATTTATCTGAGCAAATAACTAATATAAAAACTTTTTTTAGATATGGACAGTAACTATAAAGGAAAAAGCGAATTCTTGAAAAAAAAAAACTGAAGATGCAGGAACAGAAATTGTACAGCAATTAAAATGATTATTAATAAATCTTTTTTTAAATATTTCATTATATTATTTCACAAACAGACAGTTTAAATAATATTTATCAATAATTGCAAATAAATGTTTCTATTCAAAGATATTAAATATTTTAAATATTATTCCCTTACTTTGACTACAAAATGACTTTATTATCACGCTTAGTTTTATACAATACAAAATAAAAATAGCTGAGACTCAAATTTAATTTAATACAAATTTCCAAAATGGTTCATTTAAATAAACTATGTTATGTATTATGTATTAGCAACTAGTAGTAATTCATGTACTTTGTGTCTCATTTGTTAAAGGATATCATTATGATCACTCTAATTATGAAACTATAGTAAGTTATTTATTTGTAAAATTAATATTTTGACATAGAAAGGGGTCTGAATAATGTCACATTTTGACAGATGTCAAATAATTCGTTTGGGATTAACACGCGAAAAACGAAATCCGCCATTTTCGGTTTTTCACCGATACTTCCATAAACAATTGATCGATTGTAAATCTGAAGCCGGTTATCAAATGCACTAAGTTTCCTCTAAAACTTTTCCCATTTAACCTTTTGCTGTATGTATAATAGGAGCCGATATCCCTGTATAGAGAAGCGAATCTGGGACACACTGTATATTTAAATTTTTCTAAAAGTATGGCAAGATTTGCTCAAGAAGTTGGATGTTAAAAATTGCTATAAGTCTGTCAGTAGATGAGATTAGCCAGTTCTGGACGGGAGGTTATGAGAGGTAATTAGTAATTATCCTAAGTACCCACCCCCCACCCTTCGCGCAATTAGCAAGTACCTCCCAATTACTATCATGTACTGTAATGAGTGTAATTGCGTAGTGTAATGGCACCTCTCATTACTCCACATACCTAGAGGTGTAAGTACCTCTTAGAGACTATTTACTATGTAATGTGTAACGAGCATAGTAAGTACCCATCGAAGTGTAAGTACCTCTTAGATAGTAATTACTATGTGTATCATATAATGAGTTTAGTCTAAATACATCTCAGTGATTACTATTGTGGCATAGGGAAAATAAGTCCATGTCTGAACACATCCTTGACTCTCAACCGCCATAGCTAGAGTGAAGTGCTAATCTTCAGCAGACACGGGCCACGTAAACATTGGTAGAAGGGGTAGAACCCCACCCTTCGCGCATCTTCAGACTTGTATATTATGAATAGCATAGGAGAGGTGGGAATTTTTAGAGAGGGTATATAATAGCGCCCATATCCAAATTAAATCAGTTTAAAATCGTAAGCTTTAAGCGGGTGCCTCTCAGGCTTGTATATTATGAATATGAATTGCATAGTAAATACTTTTCAATTACCCTATACACCATGTGTAATGAGTATCGTAAGTACCTCTCATTACTCCATACACATTGAAATGTAATGAGTGTAGCTACCTTGTATATATAGTAATTGCTATGCATGTCATGAAGTGTAATGAGTTTAATTTAAGTACCTCTCGGTTATTACTATTGTAACGTATAAAGCCTTTTGTATCCTAAGTTCATTCTAAATAATAGACATAATTGTTTTTCATAAATGAAGTGAGCACATCCTTGACTCTCGACCACCATGATTAGAGTGAGGAACCGGCCGGGCGCAAGCATACATGGCGTCACGGCATGAATATCGAGACAGGAACTTGGAAAAAGTGAGGGATTTAGTTAACAAGTACTTCCCAATTCTGAACCCACTGTACTTAGTCTAATTGCATAGTAAGAAACTTTCAATGTATAATGAGCATCGCAAATACTTTTCAATACTCCATTTACATATAGGTACCTTGTATATAGTATGTATATCATGTGTAATAAGTTATAGTAAGTACTCCCCATTACTTCAAACACAATGAAGTGGTATGAGTGTAAGTACATTACGTATAGTAATTGCTATGTATATCATGAAGTGTAGTGAGTTTAATCTAAGTACCTCTCGGGTATAACTATTGTACCGTATAGAGCGTGAATATTGAAGGAACTTAAAAGAGGTGGGGGATTTTTGAGAGGATATATAGTAGCGTAGAAAAGTATTTAATACGAATAAAATTTACTGGTAATTTTTATTTGTCTTTTTATTACATTTCCAAAGATAAAGTTGTTTTATTTATTTATTTATTTGAATAATTATTTTAATTTTTATCAATTATAATTAAAAGGAAAAATAATATATATAAATTCTTTGGAATTGATGTCCTTTTGGGGAAAGCCTATTACTTTGACCTTACATCTTTGTTCCAAAACATTGATAATAATAATAATTGACTAAACTAAACCAGCTAAAATAAAATTCAATTACAAAATATCTATTTCCTTTATCAAAATGGGAATACCTAAAGATTTTATTATGTAAGTACTTTTTTATTGACTAATAATTTTTAATCATTTTTTTATTGTACTGGATGAATAGTAAAACCTTTCTCGATATTTTGCTCGCGGTTTCATAACATAACGTCGTCTTATCAAAATTCATTCAAATTAATACAGATGTACACTCGCAGTCATAAGTAACCGAATAAAATATCAGAGGATTATTGTGATAAAGATGGTGCACATTACGCTTCGAGCATATATATTTCAGAGTCCGCATTCAACAGAGTTTGTTTGGGTTATGAGGGGAAACAGGTAGACACTATTTTCAGTGTCGCATCATTTTTACGGGGTTTGCAATTAATATAAATAATAAATTTGATATATACCTTTAAAATTCTTTAAATTATGCACATTATTTAAGTAGGAATCTAGTAATAGTAAATAATAATAATAATAATAATAATAATTATTATTATTATTATTTATTATTATTTGTGTTGGACACATCAGATTTTTTTAATTCAAATATCAGAAAATGTGATACGGAAAAATGAAGGTTGAAATAATGGGCAATAAAAAAGTTAAAGAGCTTATATTTAAAAATCAAAAATATAAATAAATATTAGGTATATTATAAAAATATTTATGATATCTATTAACACACGTACGAGAATTACAATAAAAGAATTTGTTCCAATAATTTATTAAACATTAAAATATTGTTCGTAAATAATGTTCAATAGATTACTAAACCATATACAAATAGAAATCAAGCTAATACTTAGGTACATTTGCACTACCAGTCGTTAACAAATAAGTGAAGCTTAATTTTTATCGTAAAACAGTCTTAAGCTTCGATTATTTCTTAATGACTAGGAGTACAACGAAAAGAAGCTTAAAATGACTTTTTTATTGAAAAAAATCACATTAGGCTTTGCTTATTTCTTAACGACTAGCAGTCTACTTAATTAAAGAACATATTTAATAAAAAATAATGATTGCCAATTTTTGTTGTTTATAAAAAATATAGTTAGTAATAGGTAAGTATTTGAAAATAAAATTTATGTTGTATTAAAAAGTACTTAGTTACTTATATGCTTTCTAATTCTGCATTTTCTTTTTCTGCAACAGAGGCTTCATGGTTCAGATCATCACTGAAAAATTAAAAAAATTTGAACGATTAACCCACAAGTGCAGGGTTCTTTACCTTTTAGTTTCATCTTCTTCTGGGGTCTCAGTAAGTCCTGATGGAAATGCTCCTGGAATTAATCTAGTTCTTTCTCCACATCCAGTCTTTGACATAAACATATGTCCAGAAAATTATTGGAACATAAAACATCACTATTTGAAATGTTTTCAATATGTTTCATCAAACCTATAAAAAAATTATTGATTTAACATCTTGAACATTATCATGATAAAATGAGTTAAAAACGAAAAGCTTGTTAATATTGAAGTCCAAAATCTAAAACAATATTCCTCATACATAATATAAGTTCTTTAAATTTAATTCTCTAAATTTACCATTTATTTTAAATTCATGTTTAACGGCCTTTTGCATAAAATGTGGGTACTTATGTTTCTTTTAAAAAAATGGTAGAGACGCTAATGGTTACTTACTTGTGGAATGACCTTGACGATGCCTTTTCGTATTTCTATTTAAAACTTACACAAACTCTCACCCATCTCTCACCATTGTTAAAATTTGTATCACTAAAGTAATAAAATACAAAAAATCACTTATAAACTACAAAGATAAGCTAGAAATTAATGAAAGTCAAAAATCAAATGACAGTTCTGACAATTTCGAACGATTTGACATGCCAAGCAAAACGAAACAGACCAATGGGAATGCTGGACACTATTTTTCCCCCCTGTACCAAAACAAAGTCCATTTGAACGATGACTCTAGTAATATATGCTCGAAGACATTACGTACAATAATGTCTTCTCTCAACTGATATCGCTGTCAACATATTTTTGTCAAAACAATCGTACCTAACCGAAACATTGTGCCATGTCTACTTACAAAAAAATTAGCATATTTTAATTTAATTAAATATTTAAATAATGACTCAATATCAATCACACAAAGAATTATTTATTAAAATATTATATAACAGATTTCTGCAGTAGGGCTATCATCAGGTCTATAATAAGAGAAAAAATCTATGTTGTAGTATTGTCACATGTTCTTTAATATTTTAGAGTAAAAAAAGTTAACAAAACAACAACGAATGTTAGGTTAGGTGGTCTAGGTAATGTCAATTTTAAGTATCACTAAGATGTGCGTTCATTTCGACATTCTATGTGTCGGTTTGTTCGTTGGCTTGGTTCTGTGTAACAAACAAAACTTCGGTACAAGCTGATGACGTACACATTTCAAATTTTAAATTATAAATGGTTTTACTTTAAAAACTTTTGGCTTTTTTAACAAACTGATTATTTAGAATAACTTGTATAGTGACTAACTATTACAATATAATTTAAAAAAACAACATATCTCACATGTGAACTTGGCCCATTGTTGCTTTCTAAGGACTCTAGATACTGTCGATTTAGGACAATCAAACTGAGCGACCAATTTTCAGACATTTGTAGAAGGGTCATCTGCTATATCCATTTGAATTGCACAATTGTGACTGGCTATAGATAATAGTTTGTGGAACAAGAGTTGATATGATGGCCATCATATCCATTCGAGTTGTACAGTATATTTTTTCTACGAACCACTAACGAAAAATCTACAAATTTTAAAAATTATTTTAGGTTATTAAGACAAAATAACTAATTTTAAAATAATTTATGAATATTACTAATTTACAAAATAAAATAAATATGAAAAAAAAATTAGCCCCTAGCCCAGATTCGAACCCATGCTATTCGCGTGGATCCCAGATGCTCTGACTTCAGCTCCACTGCCATCTTTATCATTTTAGTTTTAGTACTCGTATTTAAACTAGTTTCATATAGTTTGATTAAAATTTCTTTTTTTTTTCAAACTGTGGCCTAAATAAAAATAGAAATGCTATTATTTATTGATTGTAAACAAAAATAACTCATTTTAATGTATATTTAATCTCAAAAACTAAAAAATATACTGACAATAGAGAGTTATTGCAAGTTCACTTAAGGTCAGTCACTATTAGTGCCGCTCTTATTTTGACATCTGAGCATGCGCAGATCACTAATAGTGACTGACCTTAAGTAAACTTGCAATTAGGCATTCCAACGACCTGTCCAAATGGCTACCAGTGGGTAATGACAGTTTAGATATGGCAACCCTGTTGTCATGTTGTCATTAACAGGGTCAATGATACATATATAGTTATATAGATTGCTCAAAGCTGGTCGTTTACGAGCGGCCATATTGCTTGGCAAATATTTATTAATTTGAATCGGTTTAGCAAAAATGTGTTTTAAAACCAATTTTTAGCCTTTAGATATTTAAAAAAAAAATAATTGCTTACATTTTTACTTCAAGGCATACGCTTATGTTTATTTTGAAAAATATGGATAATCAATCTATGTAACTATCTATTTCATTGACCTTGTCAAATCACCAGGCCTACAGGGTTGCCATAATTTTGCAATATCATAACCCGTCAAAACCCACTGGTAGCCATTCAGTTTGGAATGCCTAATAACTCTCTAATTAGTTTGACAGAATTGTCACTTATTCAAAATTTTAAAAATAATAGTAGTTGGGTGTCCAAAATATGAACTGTAATTGGTGGATTTGATTTTTTTGCAGTGTTCTCTTTACCTAGAATGGATATGAAATATATTCGTTCAGTTGAACGCAATAGCACACTTTTTCATTTTGTAATCTGTGCGTAAATAAGCTAATATCTATGAGGGTGTAGAAAAAATAAATATTTGCTCGATGTCAATTTGACTTTGTAGTTATGAAATATTTACTTCGCTATAGGTCCACAAAAACAATGGTATTTGACTATTGTACTGATATCGGTGTAGATAAAATACATATTTTCTGAATGTCAATCTGACTTTTTGGCCAGTAAAAATGGCCTACGCTATCCAAACAAAATAGTATATTATGCAACGATCATGTAATGATGGTTATTAATACACGAGCATTAACCGGGATACGAAACGAGCCAAAGGCGAGTTTCGTATGGTCTATGCGAGTGTTTTAATAACCATTACATGAGAGTTGCATACGCTATTTTTTCTACACCCGATAAAGAATCAAGACCTATAAATATTATATTTATATTGGTATTGAACACAATAACAGTAATTACTCGTATTTCTATAAAAAATTCTACAAAATTGTAATTAATGGTATTACTTCGGGTATTGGTATTTCCCTAGATTTTTGCTGCAAAATATTTTGTACTGTATTTTCTGCTTTCTCCGATATGTGTGGATATCGCTGATATGAGACATTTTAATATTATAATTATCGAAGTTTAGCTATCTACGAAAATTTAATACGTTTTGACAACTAAAACAATTACATAGAAACCTAGGACAAACGTCAAACAGCATGCTTGATTGAAAAATAGTAGGTTTCTATTGATTAAAAATCTGTATCGTAATGAAAAATCTGTATCATAATGGGTATCATTATGAAACGGATTATGGGCATATAAGTGCATTATTATAATACGGGTGTAGAAAAACAGTATTATTTGACTATTGTAGTACTGTTCTCGCTATAGATCAAGTAAATATTTTCTGAATGTCAATCTAATTTTGTGGCTATGAAAAATTGACTTCGCTGTGGGTATAAATAAAAATTTTACTATTATTTTGATCTCGCTATGTATTAAATAAATATTTACGTGTGAGTTTAAAGATCCCGGAAATGCAGCTTATTAACACGGGACGTTTACGTACTACCTAAGGTGTCTAATATTATTTTAATAGTGGATGCAGAAAAATAATGTTGTTCGGTATGGTGCCTATTTTTGAACACGAGTATAGCAAATATCCACTATTTATATATGTAATTCCACTAAACACAAAATAAGAGATAAATATGATATACAAGCGTATTATAATTCAACTCTTTATTTAATAATAATTATTATTAAATATGAAGTGCCAACATCAAGTGGTTGTAGCATTTGTTGTTTTTGTTTTGACATTAAATCATGTTCAAGGAGAAAATATTTCTCTTTCACCTTCGACCCAAGATATTGGTAAGTTTGTTTTTATTAATAAATGCCCGGGAATACCCCAAGTGAACCACTTATGAACATTTTATTCTGATGATGAATAAGAAATTTGATTCTAAACTAACTTATCTAGGGTTGGAAAACTAAAAAAACTAAGGTCCTACTCACTACTAGTTTATCTACCTTTACCTTAGAGTCTAATTTATTCTTAATGGAATTAAAGTTATTATTTGTTCAAGGTTTAATTTTAGGTGTGTTCCCTTATTGATTAGTTTAAGTAAATTTTCTTTTTTAAATACAATGTCACTCAAACGTGGGAAATTTTAGGACATTATATTTGTTTATATCCCATGTTTCTTCTAATTACATATATAATTTAAGAAGACAATTTTGATTGTCTTAAAATCTATGATATCAAGAAGTTTCTTCGTATATTCTGTGGGCCAGTATGTTGACTTTCCCATACATATTTGCGTTTAAATAATCAAATTACTAAAAAAATTCATACAGATCAATATAAATATCATCTACACCTATTTACACATCAGAATTATTTGACATTACGAAACATATTCTTCCTTTTGTAGAAATCTTTGGGAATTTAACAGACAAACAAATACCTGCCCTGAACTTGTATCATTTTGGACAAAAAAGCTACTACATCGGCGACGTATTTAAGGTAACATATTTTTACTTTCCTATCTGTATACAGATATAAGGAAAGTATAGAGATCATGATTTTTTTCGACCTCGAGTTTTCGACGGATTTTTATGTTTTGAGGTCCCCTGAATCCGTTTTGACTATTTTCGCGATGATGTCTGTGGTGTGTGTGTGTGTGTGTGTGTGTGTGTGTGTGTGTGTGTGTGTGTGTGTGTGTGTGTGTGTGTGTGTGTGTGTGTGTGTGTGTGTGTGTGTGTGTGTGTGTGTGTGTGTGTGTGTGTGTGTGTGTGTGTGTGTGTGTGTGTGTGTGTGTGTGTGTGTGTGTGTGTGTGTGTGTGTGTGTGTGTGTGTGTGTGTGTGTGTGTGTGTGTGTGTGTGTGTGTGTGTGTGTGTGTGTGTGTGTGTGTGTGTGTGTGTGTGTGTGTGTGTGTGTGTGTGTGTGTGTGTGTGTGTGTGTGTGTGTGTGTGTGTGTGTGTGTGTGTGTGTGTGTGTGTGTGTGTGTGTGTGTGTGTGTGTGTGTGTGTGTGTGTGTGTGTGTGTGTGTGTGTGTGTGTGTGTGTGTGTGTGTGTGTGTGTGTGTGTGTGTGTGTGTGTGTGTGTGTGTGTGTGTGTGTGTGTGTGTGTGTGTGTGTGTGTGTGTGTGTGTGTGTGTGTGTGTGTGTGTGTGTGTGTGTGTGTGTGTGTGTGTGTGTGTGTGTGTGTGTGTGTGTGTGTGTGTGTGTGTGTGTGTGTGTGTGTGTGTGTGTGTGTGTGTGTGTGTGTGTGTGTGTGTGTGTGTGTGTGTGTGTGTGTGTGTGTGTGTGTGTGTGTGTGTGTGTGTGTGTGTGTGTGTGTGTGTGTGTGTGTGTGTGTGTGTGTGTGTGTGTGTGTGTGTGTGTGTGTGTGTGTGTGTGTGTGTGTGTGTGTGTGTGTGTGTGTGTGTGTGTGTGTGTGTGTGTGTGTGTGTGTGTGTGTGTGTGTGTGTGTGTGTGTGTGTGTGTGTGTGTGTGTGTGTGTGTGTGTGTGTGTGTGTGTGTGGGTGTGCGTGTGTGTGTGTGTGTGTGTGTGTGTGTGTGTGTGTGTGTGTGAGTGCATGCGTGCGTGCGTGCGTGCGTGCGTGGGTGTGTGTGTGTGTGTATGTCTATATGTCTGTATGTCGCATAACTCATGAACCGATACACAGAAAAACACCAAATTTTAAACTTAAGCTTTATTCCAGCGTCTAATGAACTGATTAGATTTTGGGCAGATTTATGGAAGGCCGTTTTTATATTTTATGGAATATATCTGTTATTTATGTTTGGAGAAGAAAATTGTTTAAATAAAAGTTACTTCTAATATTATTATCTATACTTTTTGCTTTATGTCAAAATTTTCTGAAATGGCCCGTATTCGAGAAATTTGACAAAATGTGCAAAATTCTGATTTTTATGAAAATTGTTGAACTAAAAGTTGTTTGCGATATCGATCTCTATAATTTTTGTTTATACATGATTTTTTTTAAATGGACCGTAATGGAAAAGTGCTAAATTTAAATTTTTCAGTATTTTCGTTTTCAATGAATATAGAAAAATGTTTCGAGGTAGATGTATGTGGACAATGTATATATTTAGTTTATCCTCTAAACATTTATAGAGATGCTGCAATAGGTTGTACCAAATAACCGGAAAAAGCCTATAATAACTAGATAGGAAACTCATGTGTTAGACACATCAGATTTTTTTTATCCGTTAATCATTTTTAAAGTTTCTGTTTTAGGGTAACTTCTTCAAAGCAGAACAATTTTGCAGATTTCACGGAATGAATTTGGTAACTATAAATTCCGAAGAGGAAAACGATTTTTTGGAGAAGAAAATCACCGAAAGAGGTAATAAAGAAAAAATAATTAATTTGTATTTACAAATTACTCGTGAGTTTGGTTTTATTTAATATTTCTCTAGAGTTAGGTTGCGAGAAAGTTTGTCTATAAAAATTACGTAATTGAAATCGCCCTAACCTCCTCCAGTCAACAAGATCTCTCTCCACATACTTTGATTTTCGTTTACTATACGGAGAATGGTCGCACTGCGCAGCTTTCTGAGTGCCTTTTAAAAGGAGATAGAAAACTTCGCCATTTTGAACCCTTATTACGTGTTGCCTACATCTTGGCGCAAAATTTTTAATAGTTGCGTTTTAATCATCCGCTTTTGCTTCGGAATTGTCGGTTTTATTGTTTTAATCTCTACTTAATCATCCCAAGGAAGGGGCACAATTGATCCTGACCACAGAAGCTAGCTCAACAGCCATTGGTAGCACTTTAGAGCAAGTTGTCCAAAACGTTAGACAACCTTCAGAATATTTTTCTAAATAAATAACCAAAAGTCAACAAAACTACAGTGTTTTTGACAAAGAACTTTTTGCTATATACGAGTCGATTAAACACTTTAGTTGTATGCTGGAATGCGTCCGAAAGATCACCATGTCAATTTAGATATTTCGAATATATTTTACAATTTACTAACAAAATTAAATACGTAGGCAGCAAAAACGTCGAAGTCGCTGATTTCCTGAGTCGGACTGAACACGATCAAATTGATAACATAAATTTCACTTTACAAGATATTTTTGACGAACAAAACTTAGACGTAGAACTAAATAATCTCTTAAAAATACAAAATCTTTCAAATCAAGAAAACAGTAAAGTATTCCTTAAGCTAATTAACGTTGAAATACACAATTTTAAAATTTGGTACGAAATTCTGCTAATAAACAAAGAATATATATTCCTCGAAGTTTACGTTATAATACTTTTCTTAAAGTTCATAACATAGCTCATCCAGGCCTCAAAGCCACATCTAAATCAATTAAACAAATATACTTTTTGCCCCACATGAATAAAAACATGTCTTTGGACGAAATCATGCATACAGTGCAAAAAAAGCAAAAGTTTCCAAACATACCAAATCTATTTTAGGAGATTTTACCATTCCTGAAGATAGATTTCAGCATATTCACATAGATCTAGTAGATCCTAAGGCCTTCTGGTGGTTGCACTTACCTACTCACAGTAATCGATAGAGTTACTAGGTGGATAGAAGTATACCCACTTAAAAATGTAGAATCAGAAAATATAAGAACTTTAATAAATCAGCATATTCCACGTTTCGGTATACCCTATAAAATTACACATGATCAAGGTATTCAGTTCAAATCAGGCATGTTCAAACAATTTAGTATAAGACTAGGTTTTCAAGAGTTTACACACCACACTTTACCATCCGCAAGGAAACGGCATGATTGAAAGATTTCATCGAACTCTTAAATCAGCCCTTGTGGCAAAACTCACTTCAAATACTTGGAAAACTGAATTGCCTTTGATTCTCCCTGGTTTGCGATCTGCAATAAAAGAGGACTTACAATGCTCACCCTCGGAACTTGTTTATGGACAAACGCTACGTCTTCCTGGTGAAATCTTTAACAATTCTGAAGAAAATGTACATATTTATCCTATTTTAAATAAACTTCGTGAAATTTTTAATAACATTAAACCATCTCAGGTACAAAGACATGGTTCAGCAAACACAATTGTTCATCCAGAGTTAAAAAATACAGAATTTGTTTTCTTAAAAGTTCCGGGTATCAAACCAAGACTTACAGCACCGTACGATGGTCCTTTTAAAGTTATTTCTAGAACTGACAAAGTTTTCAAAATCTTAAAAGGTAATCGCGAAGTTACTGTCAACATTGACATGACTAAACCAGCTTTCTTATTAAATGAACAAATTGGCAGCGCGCAAGTGCTAAAAAGACAAAGAAGGTCACTTTTTCTATTAATAATTTAATTCATCATTAGTTATAACTTTTTAATTAATCGTTAATCAGTTGATTCAATTTAATTTTCTTTTTTTTTTCTTTTAAAGAGAGGGGGAGTATTTGTGGTGCTCGCGTCTCGTTTGGCGAGCACACAAAGAACTTCTTAATGATTTTTATGACATTTCAATTGCTCTTTTATGTTTTGTGTCAATAAATTTATTTTTTGGTTATATGTAATGTTTTTAGAGTGACAACCATCTGGTATCTTCTTTTATAATAACGTCACTGTTATTGATTAAGCTATGCTTTTCTTTTTGTAAATCTTTACAGGATTATCCGAAGGTCCAAGTAGGCAGAAGATTGGGAGCAATATATAAAGGGCCGCCGTTGCTATGCTGGCCAGAGACTAAGATAAACAACCAAGTTTTTCCACGTCAAATCATCCACTCATCAACCAAAACTCCATGCACCATATTTATATTTCTTTTTATATTCGAAAATAAACCTTTTCAGAATTAATTTAGTTTCCAGTTATTCGAAGAATTTAGCACTAAATGGTTTGTCCATAAAAATTGCTCGAGAGTTTGTCTATAAAAATTCCTCGAGAATTTAGTTACCTTTTTAAAGAATGTCTGAGCCAGCTATTTGTCAGAACTATGCATCAAGACGTAACAATTATCAAGAAATTAAATTATCGATAAACTGATTTCTAGGTGATGGTCTTAACCATTTTTGGATATCAGGTACGAAATTACCAGACGTTAATGAATGGATATGGTTCACTACCGGTAGACACATTACATATTTTAACTGGAATTCAGGAGAACCCAACAATGCTAAAAAAGATGAATATTGCATTGAAATGAGAGTGGTAAAAAGAAAAGTCAAATGGAACGATATAGATTGTTGGCAAGATTTCAATTTTATTTGCGAATTTACTTGGACTAAAGATTGTATTAAGCTATTGAAAGATATACAGCATCGTTCAAATATCTCGAATATTATTGACGTTGGGTGAGGATAGAACACTGATGATTGGCTGATATTAGGTTTAACTTTGTTTTATTTTCAGAGTTAAGTTGCCAGAGATGAATTGAATAATAAGAATATAAATTTATTAATTAATGTGTTTATGTATTTCTGACTGAATGCATGTTTTCTACCAAACAGACGACCAAGTTCTTAAAAGACTCCTAGTTTCAAGCCAATTTTTTGAATTTGTATGTTATAAAAATAAATAATTTCATAAAAATTCATTTGTATTTTTAATATTTCTGCTGTCACATATCTGATTATCAAAATAAATATTAGAGGGATAGAATATAATCGTTTCTGAAATTTGGTTGAGCAGTTTGGTAATCTTCCACAATTTCTTGGTTATTAAAATTTGAAGTTTTTCTATCCTTAAAAATTACTGAATTTCTCGTGAGTTTGTTTATCTATAAAAATTGCTCTAGAGTTTATTTAAATTTCCCTAAACGAATACGACATTTTCTTCAGAAAATACAATTATTTTTCCAGATTCATTCGATTCGACGACGTATTTATTGCTCGGATACGCTAATAATAATTTTTCGTTGGATATCAACCTCCGGGCGACTGTTCGACAGTCGAAAACGGAAAAAACGACGCGGCAATTGCATTATCAAAAAGGAAAATTGCTACAAATAAGATTTCGCCTCCCATTTCCGAAAATAATGAAGCGACGAATATTTCTGGGGGCATCGGTGGTCGGCGTCTGGCGACGCCCTTTGGCGTTTAAATTCAAAACTTGTGGGGTGCGATATTCAATCGCGTTAAAATCATCGTAACAGGAAAAGTCGAAGGTGAGGTGCGAGACGAGGTGCCTTCTTTTGCCCTGTCGGTGCATCTGGGGGGTCCTCAAACGCCATTTAAATCACTTGTACAGAGGCGCGCGTCGTTTAGACTATATATTTATTTTTCCTCAAACAAAATCAAACTGCTTATGTACAACACATAAAAAAACGCAGGTGATTGGTCGTTCTGCAAGCATGGAATATTGAGAATATATTTTATCTGAAATACCACCAAACGCGCCAATAATTTTAACAGGTGACTTCAACATAGATTATCTAATTTCTGTAGATTCGAATGTCAAAAATTTTACACATCGTAAAAAATAGTGCATTAGATTATTTCTGTACAAACTTTGAGTCACATTGCGTAAATTGTTATGTAACAAAAAATTATTTGTCTGATCATGATCCAGTATTAGGTCACACAGTTTATAAAATATCACAGAAATCTTCATCTAAATCTGGAAGAATATTCAGTAAATCTAATTACAATAAATTTTCTCAACTTAAAAAAAATTAATAATGCTTTTCCTATGAAAACATTAAAAACAAACCCAAAAAGCCTTGAATAACTAAAGAGATTAAGAGTTCAGGTGGCAGTGGTTCTATCTTAAATTATTACTTGAAATATCGTGCAATTTACAGGAAAAGGATTAAAGAAGCTAAACAATTATACTTTAAAAAAAGAATAAACGAGGCAGGCATTAAACAAAGAGATACCTGGAAAATAATAAATAACTTAAGAGGTAAAAGGTCACCAATTTAAGCCCTATCGAAATCAACGATTTCTATTGTTCTGCTGGTCCAAGCCTGTCCACCCAAATAACTCCTTCAAATGATGCTTTGTTTTATTTAAATAATTTAAATATTAACGATTCATTTTATTTTATACCAACTGATGTAGAAATTAAGAATATCCTCTCTTCTACCACAAAAAAACAATTCCTCAGTTTGGGATGAAATTTCAGTTAATCATCTTTCATATCTTCCAGAAGATGTTTTAAATGTTTTAGCAGAATCAATCAATCATTCATTTTCGACAGGTTCTTTCTGATTCTTTAAAAATAGCCAATGTTATATCTGTGTACCAAAGCGGTGATCATAATTGTCCTCCTAACTATCGACCCATTTATTTATTACCCACGTTGGCAAAAATTACTGAAACCTTGGTAAAGAGGAAAAGCTTTTTTATAAATCACGGAGTGCTATCTACATCTCAGTTTGGGTTTCATTCGGGTAAAAATACCACCGATGCTATGTTTTTTGTTAAATAAAAATTATAACAAGGTAGATGCTGCAGTGATCTGTGACTTATCCAAAGCAGTTGACTGTGTAAATCACAGAATATTGCTGAGCTAGCTGGAAAAATATGGATTCCGAGGAATAGCTCTAAAGTGGTTCGTCTTATTTGGAGACTAGAGTACAAAGAGTTTCTGTCAATAAGCAAACACCAATGCTTTTTATGATTCACTGTGGGAGTCCCCAAGGATCCGTTCTGGGACCTGTTCTATCCCTAATGATATTATTTATTTTAATATTAATGGATACTTCACCATATTTGCAGATGATACAAGGATACTCTGGGAGAGTGAGAATGTTGAAAAGTTATCTAATACTATTAACAAATACATTATTAAGATTAAACAATGGTGTAATTCAAATTATTTATCTCTTAATGTATCAGAAACAAATATAGTCTCATTCAGTCGTTATAATTTTAGTTGGACAGCAACAAATTTGCAAAAAACCCGAAAATAAATTCTTAGGCTTATTCACTGACCAGAAATTAAAATTTAAAATCTATGTTATTAGTTTGTGTAAGAAGCTCTCCGCTGGATGTATTGGAGTAAGAACTCTTGCATACAACTTAGTTCTTTCGGTTGCAATGAGTGTTTACTTTTCATTGGTAGAATCCCATCTACAATATGCTATAAGTTTCTGGGAAACAAGTTCTTCCGAGTTGTTTACTAGAGTCTTTGTCTTACAGAAGAGGGTCATAAGACATATGTGCAAAGTTGATGCTAGTGTCTCTTGTAAGCCATTATTAATAGGCACAATATACTAACACTCACTTGTCTCTTTATTTTAGAAATGGTACTTTTAGTTTTTACAAAATATAAATAATGATAATGTAATATTATTACCTCCAGCAATACTAGAAGAATCTTTTACCTTCCCTTGCCTGTACCCTCTTCCAGCTTGGTATATGGCTCTATTGTATATAGCGGGAAGAAGATAATTATTCTCCTGCCAATTAATATAAAAAGTGGTGACTCATTAAAAATATTTAAAAAGCAAGTTAAGAATCTCTTGCTCGAAAAGGCCTACTACAAATTGAATAAATTTTTCTGTAATCGGTTGAATTAAGTAGCTCATTTTAATTTATGCGAATATATTTGTCAATTGTCATATTTGTACTTGGTGTTGTGCATATATATTTTTGTTCTTTATATTATATTTTATGATTTAAAATTAGAATTTTAAAAATTTTTAAAAACAAAAAATTTCATTTATGAAATATTTATGTTTCTTTTCTTTGAATTTCAGTTTTATACTTTTATTCTTAGCTTTCTTATACTATTATGTTATCTATCTTTGTTAATAAGAATGTAATTAATTCTTCAATAATGGTGTCAGGACCATCACTGTCTATCAATCACAATAAGATACAGAAATTGCCCTTAATGTTAGGAACACAACAATAATTTGATCCTTTTGCCTGTAAATGCAATCTTTGGATGCATGTCCGTTAAAAGCTGCATGGAAGAAGATACGACTAAATTGGAAATTATCCCACCTAGAAACCATTCCAAAGACTCAATTTTCAGCTCATTTAAAAGAGAGTTGATGGTATGGAATATATTCAAGCAAAAATAATAAAATCAGAAATCCGGGCTTGTGGAATTTACCAGCAGGTTTTAAAGAAGATTCCAGAAGAAAACATAACAGCAGATGAATCTGACAATGCGGTAGAGTAATGAAGTTCAACCTCAGCAGATCAAGAAAAAGACAAGAAATAGAAAAAGTGTTAATTAATCCGAATATCTCCCAATCTTCTGTTAAAGTATTGTTACGATAAGAAGGCAGTGACGTCATGTAATAAAAAACCTGCAGCATTTTCAGGTAGATTTTTTCCTTCGCCTAAAGATAACATTGTGACAGTGTTCTTTCTTTTTTCCTAGCTTGAATATTTGCTATCAACTTTAACCTGGGAATATACGCATGTCGGTAGAAAGGACCAAGCGCTGATAAATTCAGTAGTAATGGTGGTGGTACTGACCTTCTGAGAATGCCCGAAGCAGTTTTTCTACTACTGACTGGTGCAACAATGTTTTAGTTTTTATTTGGCATCTGACTTCAAAAAGTGGCATGTCGTGTTTTTTTGCTATTTGTAGTTGGCTACAGGGAAGGAGGATGAACAACACGTACTATGGTCTAGTGGTGGAAGCTGTCTTGAAACTTAATATTTCTTAGCTATGGATTTTTTCGTTTTTTGCTGGTAAATAAATAATTTGCTTCTAGACGTCTACAAAATTAAAAAAATCCCTTTGGAAGCATTTTTTAACGTCCCGTTTGCTACTTTCGGTGTAAGTGGAGGAATTTCCCTAAAAAGGAACTCAAAACTGTGCATGAGGTTGATTTGACAGTACGCGTATAATGCGTAAGTTTTATAGCGCATGTACTGCCATTAGAATTGAAATGGATGTAAAAAAGAACTGTTAGTCTATAGAACAATAAAATCTTGACTATAAAACACTTTTAATAGTAAAGAAAGTGTTTTAAGATCCAAATCAAAATTAATTGTAATTTTTATTCTAATATACGAAATCATACAAATACAAAAATATTCAAAAATAATCCTACAAGACAATTTTTTAATATTTTTTTAATTATCGCTTTTTTCGCTGATACTGATATCTTGGCTCAGGTTCACTACCAACGAGATAAAATTTTATCATGATTGGCATTTCTATTTTGTTACATGCTGTACAGACTGCCAGCACAGCACAAATCTGTTATATTTGGTTATTTCTAATTAGAGGTAGTAATGAACGGGATAATTAATAATAATATTAATAATAATACTTCTGGTGGTTTATTCCTACAAATGATTAATTTTTTTAAAACATTTTTTTTATTTTTAAGCACACGTTATCATATGTTGTTACGTCAGTAAATGATTTAATAACAGCTTTAAAATGTTGTTCAATTTCTTTTTGAACTTAATTAATTTGATCATTTAAACTCTAATATGAATTAGTTTAGTATTAACATTAAGAAATTTTTACATTAACTTACATTTGTACCCAATTTAATAACTGTGTTTTGACTAAAGTTGTTTCAGTTAACCAGTTTTCTATATCAGCTTTTTTTAGCATCTGT